AAATAAAAAAAAATTTTTCAATATTTTTATATATAATATATATATATATGTGTGTATGATATATGTACAATACTTATACAATGCGGCGTATCTTAAAACCTTTATGTACGTGTATATATGCGCTTAAATATTCTTTACATTCCATTTTTATTTGCCGATTATCAAATGAAAAACTGCTCTCGTTATTAGAATCTTGAATGAAAATATCGCTAATATGTATCGACGGCCTGAAAACGCTACGCGGCGTTATTTGATATTTATATCATTATTAGTGTGTGCAATATTTATAAGATATTACCGACTTGTAAGACCGAACACTCCTTGTGAAGGAAAATAAATATATTTACCTAAAAGTACATTGCAAGTACAAATTGTTAAAAATATAGTCAAATAAATCTTTTTCATTCTTGTGGGCTAATTCACGCAACATTAAACAGATACTGTTCATATTGCTATGAAAGATTGGGGGCTTATCTGATAAATATGATCACAATCGTATAATGATAGCATATGCCAGATATCACATTGCTATCATTATCAGTATAGCAAAATATTACAACACAATAATATAAAGGATATGTAATTAATGAATTCGTCTGGTATCCATAGAAAACAATGGTAAGTTAATACAATGACAATATCAAAAGTTTATTATAACAATAGCTAATCAATCTTTACACTTTTTGGCAGATATAGCATTTCATCATGCACTTATCTTCTCTATATTAATTAATTATATGTAGATATTTTATAACGATATATTTTATATAATGATAAAAAATATTTTATATTTCACAACAATATAAAAAAACATATTTGTTGGAGTAAATAGATGAATTCTGTTTTTTATAAATAGAGAATCTTCGGCTCTTATTTTATAAGATTATTTGTATGAACTAGAAGATTTTAAGTATAAGCGTTATAAGTAATTTGTTCGTTAGTAGTAGTTCGTTTTTTTCTTCATGAGATTACAACTCGCTAAAACTCATCATGCCTCGCTAACGCTTCGCCAAAATCTGTCGCCTGAGATCCGACAAATATGTCGTATTTTTCCAAAATTTCGTCCTTCGTGAGTTTGTGATCCGCATCCGTATCAGCTTCATAAATCAAGTGCCTTGATTCTGCTTCTGCGTGATCAAAATCCGCGGGAATAATCCATGTCTTTACCTGTTTCAAAGCAGAATTCGAATATAGTTTTATTGGATCCAATTAATAATGCAAAAAATGTTTCTAAAAATTTTTTAATGTTTTTTTTTATAACAATTATGAAACATTAAATACCACCAACCTCATCGGCATTCAAGAATCCATCCCTATCTTTGTCTCTGTATAAAGAAAATTGTTCTTTCTCATTTTTCACCCATTCCGGTTCCTCTTCATCCTCACTGCCTTTGTACATATCACCTGTTAACAAATTGAAAATTTTATTTCAAGAACTGCTTAAGCTATATCTTTCAAGTGCAACAAAGGGACATCATTACCAATATATTCTATAAGAGATATCTTTCCATCTTTATCTTTATCAATATCCTCCATTGTTTCTAACACTATCACATCCTTCATGTGATCTGCCTGTTCAGCATGAAGGAAGGAAGTAAATTCCTCCTTGGTCAGAGCATCATCCCCATCCAAATCCGCAGCTGCCCATCTTCTGCGATCTCTCTTCAGCATGTGAAGATACGAAAAAGAGTCGTCGTCTGATTTATCCTGCCTTTCCTTCTCATATTCATCTATATCGCCATAAACCATTGCTGTATACTCCTTCCAAGATATTTTATCCTTTCCATCAGGATTATGAGATCTCCACTGACGTTCCACATCATCCCTAATATAACGCTGTTGTGTATACATTATCCAATCCTTAAGCTCCTCTTGTGTCACATAGCCATCCTTATCATTGTCTATTTTATCGACAATTATCCCTAGTCTTCTGGTACTTTCTTCAGGAGTAAGCTGATCAAATGTTTTAGCCTCTTCTCCAAGGAAAGCTTCATGATCATAGGCTGAGTTGTGTTGCGAGTTGATATAATGATCTTCATTACTGACGTCCTAAAATATATATAATATGCTTGATAAATTTCTCAAAAATTACAATCGTTTCTTCATTTTTTACATCTTTAACTATAATAAAAATATTGTATCAAAAATGTTTTAAAGATATTATAAATAATAATGTCATTTTTCTCTGACAATAAAAACATTGATAAATATTGATAGAATGGAACTCTTTATAATCAGAGATCTTTAATTTTTTTTCTAACCTTGTTTAAAATGCGTTGCTCCACGTCCGGCTTCGGGATCGCCGTCGCCAGGATGGAGAAACCGAATAAGATTTGTAGAAACATGAGATGTAGTATTCCACGGAAATGCATCGGCGTGAAAAAAAAAAAAAAAAAAAAAGGAAGCTGCGAGAAACTCAGCTGAAGAGTGTCCGAGCGGCGTCTCTCACCGAAACGAACGCGAGGAATGACAACTCTTCGACTTCGACTTCCACATCAGCAAGAGCAACGAAACCAAACGCCACACCCCCACCTCTTAATTTCGTGCTCGTACTACGCGCGTCTGTGTGCGAAAATGTACGATTCTTTCGGTCGAGAAACGCTCGTTGGATGTTCGATGGCCGAGATGCTCCGCCGAGAAGCGAATCCGCAGCTTCCACGTGATTCTATTAGAAGAGCCCGGTGTTCTTTAAATGGGATATATATATATAGAATACTTCGTCGAATACGTCACGTGTAACTTAAAGTTTTGACTATATAGCACATAGTATATCTTTTGTAACAGATGTAAAATATATTATAATGGAAAAAAAATCAATATATTTGAAAAATATTCGTAAAAATTTGTATAAAGTTTTGTACAAGATATTCGAGAAACGGAGAATAAATTTAATATTTATGAAGTCACAAAATTTTGGGTATTAAATCTTTGTGCAATTCACAGATTTTTTTATTTAAAGCAATGCACAATAAAACTTGTTCTATATAACAGTCGATTTATATTATAAACTTGTTAGGATAAAATAATATCTTTATCGTATAAACATTTCTTTGCAATCTGCATTTTTTTTAATTAATAAAGTGGCAGAATGAAAAAGAATGAAAATGTTGCACGCCTTTTTTACATGGACATATAATACATGTGAATAAACAGCCCAAAAGTTCACTTTATGAGCACTCAATTAGTTTGCAATACAAGAGTTTTCTGTACAAGAATTCACAATGAATGCATAATGAATGCATTAGGAGCGATTTATCTAAGAAACAACATTATTTTAACTTCCAATTATCCATTTGGCTTTCCCACTACATTTGAAATAACTCACGCAATATTCTATGGCTTTTCTACTGAAACAGAATCATCCATATATTAATTACAAATACCATACATGGAAAAATTATTGAACAATATAAACAATCCGGGTATCATCTACTTGTTATCCCTATATTTATAACGATGCTTCTATTCTGGTACTTCTTTGTTTTTTAGGAATTCCAGTCTTCCTGAATTCACTTCTTTCATTTAGATATTGTTCCGTACATTCTTTAATAAAGTCTTGATTGAAGAACCACTTTTCCATGCATGATTTCATTATTTCATTTTCTTTTCTACACTTTACAACATTTAACAAGCCTGAATTGAGGCAGCAGTCGTGGAATTCTGCAGAGAAAAAATTATAATTGATACATACATTCTATTTGTGGCGATGTAAATTAAATAATTACCTTTAACTTCACTGACGCATTTTTCCGTTTTAGTTCTTTCTCGCATTAACTTTGGTATCAGTATATCTGTCTCCACCTTCCTCAAGCTTTTGTCATCAGGATCACCTGAAATAAATATGTAAGAGTTATTCCAGCTTTGAAAAAAACAAGAATTGTGAATATAACCTATTTTATCGACAGTTTTCGATTTGCCAATTTTAGCAACAAAAAAAAATTATATTTATTCTCTCGTAATATTTTATTAATAGTGAATCAAAAGAAAAATTTTACCCAGTCCCTTTGGTCCTCCGGCAAGTTTAGGCGATATCACCGAATACGAAGATAAATCCTTCATTGTTGTATATTTTACGTTCCATCCAGTTGTTTAAAACAACGTTATGTACGTCATCGCAATAATACGGGTGTCGACTTTCAGAGGGCATGATAGACGTTGGTCAACCGAAATACATGGAAGTTTGACGTCTCTGTTCGCTCTCCTCTATGGTTCTCCTCGTCAAGAAACACTGAAGACAACCAACAACCAATAGGCTGCGCTCGTGATTATGCACATTTGAGGCTTGTCAAACGGTGAGACTTCGAGAAGAATTGTCATTTGGTTTCGCGACGAAAAGGAAATTCTCTTGTTAAAAACGGATCATCGTAAGAATAACTTATATTCTAATCCGATAAAATTGTATAATTCGATTCAAGGATCGCCGGGAGATTCAGAATCGACGTAGCGTTCTTTTCTTAACCTTTAAACACTCTCACCACCATGACTCTTTGAATCTCTGAAGAGCCTTTATGTGGTGATTATATTTTATGAATATTTCTAGAGTGTAGAATTCAATTGACACATCAAGATGGACAGGCTATTACGGTTAGGCGGTGGAATGCCGGGTTTAAATCAAGGACCACCACCCTCCGATGCACCTGTTGTTGACACAGCTGAACAGGTATTCATTGTTCAGATATTTGTATCTTTATTTTCTTCGTATCGCTTCAGTTTATTTTGTTTCTAAAGGTATACATATCATCCTTGGCCCTTTTGAAAATGCTCAAGCACGGTCGTGCCGGGGTACCGATGGAGGTGATGGGTCTGATGCTGGGAGAATTTGTCGACGACTACACTGTTCGCGTTATTGATGTCTTTGCCATGCCTCAAACAGGAACAGTAAATGTCAAAATGCGTTGAAAAATACATTTGTGTACGACATAGATTCTTACATATATATTCTTACATTATCTCAGGGTGTCAGTGTAGAGGCGGTAGATCCAGTGTTTCAAGCAAAGATGTTGGATATGTTGAAGCAGACCGGTCGGCCGGAAATGGTAGTGGGCTGGTATCATTCTCATCCGGGTTTCGGTTGCTGGCTATCCGGAGTGGATATTAACACTCAACAATCTTTCGAGGCTCTTAGTGAAAGAGCTGTAGCCGTTGTCATTGATCCTATACAATCGGTGAAGGGAAAGGTTGTCATTGATGCATTTAGATTAATCAATCCAAACATGATGGTAAGTATATATTCGTGCCGATTGATCGTGTGTTTTTTGATTATGTGATTCTGATATCATGCTGATTGCAGGTCTTGGGACAAGAACCAAGGCAAACAACATCGAATTTAGGCCATCTACAGAAACCATCGGTTCAAGCGCTGATACACGGATTAAATCGGCATTACTACAGTATTAGTATTAATTATCGTAAGAACGAGCTGGAACAGAAAATGCTGTTGAATTTACATAAAAAGACATGGATGGATGGTTTGACTCTTGCCGAATATTCAGAGCACAGTCGACTCAATGAGAATATCGTTTCCGAAATGCTTGAACTTGCAAAGAATTACAACAAGGTGAAACATAGTGCAACAATTTCAAAACTTTACAAGTACTATTTGTATATGGTAGAGATGTGTGACTAGATATTCCAAATTTTTTTTATCATAATGTGATCATCAATTTGATGTATTTACAGGCCTTGGAGGAGGAAGAAAAGATGACACCCGAACAATTAGCAATAAAGAATGTGGGCAAGCAAGATCCGAAACGACATCTTGAAGAAAAAGTGGATTCGCTAATGGCTACAAATATTGTCCAATGTTTGGGAGCTATGCTTGACACAGTTGTATTTAAATAATAATTTCTCAATATACCACTCGCAATATGATATTTAAAGGAAATATACATCTTTCTTTTTAAAATAAAAAAAAGTATGATACTTCTTTTTATATTCACCACTAATGCGAACAATTGATATGCACTATTAGTTTTGTGTAAATTTTTATTGAAGATACATGTTATCTTGATGAATCTGGTGTACTTATTGGACTGAATATTACAAATTGTTGTAAATCATGGTACGTAAAAGTTTAACGAACAAAAGAGAAATATATGATAAATATCTGATAATGAGGTAATGTACAATGAAATAAGAGCTTATCAAATGTGACATATTATAATTGATACTGGAATATCTAAGATTTCTTAGAATATATAATCTTACATTATTATCAATTATGTTTATATAATAATAATTTATACGTGTTACAGAGGACATACTTTTTACTAAAAATCTGTATCGGTGACATAAAAATATATAATTCTCGTCTTCATGATTAAAAAAAAATATAGATGTACAGTAAACTCTCTTGATCATTCTTATCAGCCTTAATGGAATAAGAATTAGATGTAATTTGGAATATTTTACATTGGAATTTGTGCATCTGGAAAAAATGGCATAAATGCAATAGTGTCAGCAAATATATAAAAAAGAAAAATAATAAGTCTAATATAAAAAGATTTTTTTGTCTTTTTTTTCTTAGAATATAACCCAAACAGCACATGTCCCTAAAAGACGATTTAAAGATATTTTATCATACTTTAAACATCTTCAAGATGTCTTTTGGCCTTCTTGTGCTGCCTGGGTAAGCTTCAGTAAACTCGAGAAATTACTGTACAATATATGAAACTAGAACTGGGTTTTTAGCCTAGAGAGAATGTAATATATAATGTCATAAAGAAAATAATTTTATATTTTATATAACAATTGTTTAATTCTTTTTTCTTTTGCATAAAAAATCCATCTAACTCGGTGTAGGTTCTCGATTTTTATCCTTTTTCTTCTTCTTTTTCTTTTCTTTTACTGGAGCCTCCTAGAATAATATGTAACAACGTAGTAATATACATATTCGATTATATATTCAAATTAAAATCATGATCTAATTACCCCACTAGCGCTTTCTTCCATTACTATAGATTCTTCACCTTCCCTGTCTTGCTTCTCTTTGCTTTTTTTCTTTTTCTTGTCTTTTTTCTCCTTCTTTTTATCTTTGGGTGATGATAATTCTGGTGATGATGTTTCTTCTTGTTTTATAGAAACATTTGTATCCGTTACACTTGTATCATCTTCTCTTTTCCTTTTTCTAGAGCCAACGTCACCGTTTTTCTCCGTCTACATTTTTTTTAAATATTTTGTGAATAGTCAATCACACACAGACACACATATATATAAACATCTACTTATCAAAAAAAAATATTAAAGAAATTAGAAAGTTAAAATAATTAAGACTTGCCTTAATTTCTGCTGTTGACGTTGGTGTTGCAGAATAATCCGTGTAATTTTGTAACCAACCTGCAGGTGTGTTTTCATTTGGTTTTCCATATTTATCTAAGGTCCCTTCAACTACCATACGTTTTTTTTGCAATGCTTTAGGACCTAAACCCCACTTCCTTGGATATGCATCTCTCTCCATGATTACCCTTTTAATTTTTGCAGCTACTCCATGATCACAAGCAGCCATAGTTGGAGAGGTCATCAAAGCTATAGCTAAATACATATAAATAAAATTTTGTGCGTAAATATTATTTAAAAATTCTAAAGAAATTTTTAAAAATAAATATAAAAGTAATATATAAATTTTTCGAATTTCTCTTATGAGTTGAACAGCAGATGATGCAAGAAGTTGAATAATGTACAATATTATTATACACACATACACACATACAATTATTCTGAAAATATATTTACCAAGTGCAACAGCTTCGCCTTTAGTAGTCACAATTACAATTTCTTGGTTTAATTCTATCCCTTGGTCATACATTATAACGCCTGGCAGCATTATTTTAGCTCCATAACAAATTGCATTCACCTACAAATTCATAAAATAAAAATAAAAATATATTGTTATTAATAAAATTAAATAAAAAAACCTATTCTTGTATTAATTAAGAAATAAAAGCTCGAATACGTACAGCGCTATCCTTCAAGATGATTCTCTTGTGATTCATTAATAGTGCTTCTAATGGTTTTATAACTCTCCTTAGATAAGATTCGTCTCCATGATTGTCGTACAACCATTGGGCATCAAGAATGTCATGCATTGTAACCATGGCATCTTTTTCGGATTGAACGCCGGAACGAATCCTCCGAAGTTCTTGCATATTAGCGCCGGTACCTACGTACAGCCCGAGATGGACACACATAGTTCTTATATAAGAACCAGCCTCACAACTAACACGAAACACCCCCATATTAATCTCCTTGTTATAATCTAGCAATTCATTTTCATATACTGTCCTTACGCGAAGCTGTCTTTTGACCGCCGATATCAATGGTGGCCTTTGGAAGAGAGCACCATGCAACTTTTCCAATGACTGCTTTACCTAAATCATCATATAACATCAATGTATGGTATCGTGCAAAAGGGAGAGGGGGAGTATCTTAACAATATTCTGATGACTTACCTTTTGAATACTTTCTGGCGCAGAGTGAAGTTTAAACACAGCAACATATTCCTTTCCAGCTGACTGTTGCGACTTGGCTAATCTAGTCGCCCTGTCTATACAAACTATCAAACATCCTGATACTTTGGGATCCAATGTACCTGAGTGACCAGTCTTCTCCACCCTTAAAATCCTCTTTATCCAAGCAACCACCTCGTGCGACGAAGGGTTACATGGTTTGTCCAAGTTGATGCATCCTGACTTTACGTACTCTGATAAGCTACGATTAAGCGGGGTAGAACCACTTGTTAAAGGTGTAAAATGTTTTGTACGTGTCAGCATTTTATCAAAATTCTGCAATAGATAAATGAGAAGTTTCTTTTTATGAATATCTTGTCTGATTATTATTAACGTGTGAAAAAGGATTTGCGAAAACCAGATCACTGACCTTAAATAGTAGAGGCCAATCTTTACATTCCAGTTTCACCTCCTCATTGGAGGGTACTATCTCGCACTTCATCGTCCTTTGAATTTCCCCAAGCGTTGGCTTGTTCTTCTTCTTCTTACTCTTATCTGCAACAAGACCGATAAAATCTAACCTACATCTTAATCTCTATACAATTATATACGACAAATCTGTATCTTTTTTAAACTAAATTTGTTAGAGCAAATTTAATGCGCGAAAGCTATGGATGTGTTAGCATTTTTCGATATTTCCGATAATACTGTCATTTTAATCGATCGTGCAATTAAGCAAAAACACGTGTATATCATGAGGTATTACAAGATGGAAACATAACAGAAACCACGCGGCCCGAGACGTTATTGATAATCACAATAATGTAAAAAAGCACGAGCATACAAAATTAATTTTGGAAAAAAAGATTTCGCGACGTGCATACAAAAATAATGTGTATTATTTACCTTCTTCTGCCATTTTTAAGTTAGTATTATAACACGTGAAGTCGCGTACAATCCAAACTCTGGATCACTCCGAATATAGCATAGATTTCCGGAGTTTGAACATAAACTAAAGTTGAATGAGATTGAAGAGCAACAATAGATTTCAGGTTTGCGTTGCAAAACTACTCAGAATATTGTAACGTTTGATTGACCAATCAGAACGAAAGGAACAAAAATTTCCTTGTCCTGATTGGTCTACCAAACGCTGTTTCACTAAAAGTGCGAATTCATGGGACGCTCGTTTCAGCATTGCATGTGGTCACGTGATTTCGACTTGACGCTAGTGTTAAGAAAAAAAATTGGATTTTCTTAGCTTCAGCATCAGCGTCAAGCCGTGTTGTTGTTTTTTTGCCGTATAATATTTTTCTTTATATTTTTAATTAAAATATTTTATTTGTATTATATGTTTTTATATGTATTATATTATTTCTTGAATAACTATATAAGATTTGAATTTATAT